GCATGATGACAAAGAGGAGCAGAAACATGACATGATGGGGCTGTGAGACAGGGGCTGATGGGGGGTCAGCGGGGGCCGCTGATCGTGACAGATGTGCGATAAAGTTTTTAGGAGGCTGTTCAATTCTGACACGAAAGAAGATGACTTCAGTGGTTTTAGGGCACAGGAGGAAGATGGAGATAGTACTCAGTGACTTCCTGGTACGCTAAAGTTTTGTGTTTTTTGGGGGGGGGGGGGGGGGGAGTTTACCAGCCGTGCTACAGGTACTGTTTAGAAAAAAAACATTTACTGAATGCATTTGTGTATGTTACTGGTACATGTTTAATTAAAAGTTAGAAATATCTTTCTGTGTAAATATCTCATGTTAAAACGTGGACACCTGTGGCTTACACACAAGTGTGGTCTACATATTTGTACAATATATATTTTTTTCTTTTTAAAGTTAGTGGGTGTGTTTTAAAGTTAGTGGCTGGTTAAAACCAGCCAATAAAGAACACAAGCCAGTGTATCTCTTGTGCTGGTCCCAAGGCCAGGTAAAGGGCGAGGGTTTTGTCTGGAAGGGCATCTGACGTAAAACACTTTTTTGCCAAAAGTGTAATTTGGGTTCATCAAAGAGAAACCATACCAAATTGGTCCAGGCCCGTGTTAACATCGACCGCCACTGGTGCTGTTGACAAACAGGGTGCCGGTGGAAATTGTGCTACTGTTAGTCGAAGACCATGAGGAGGGAAGTGTGTCAGGAAACAGAGGGAGAAGAGGAAAGTCAAGAATGTAGGACTGAGGGTTGCAACTTTAAATGTGGGGACAATGACAGACAAAGGTAGAGTGCTGGCTGACATGATGCAGAGAAGGAAGGTAGATGTTTTATGTGTCCAAGACACCAAGTGGAAGGGCAGCAAGGTTGGCAGCATTGGAGCAGGGTTCAAACTGTTTTACCATGGTGTGGATAGAAAGAGAAATGGAGTAGGGGTGTTCCTGAAGGAGGAGTTGGCAAATAATGTAGTAGAGGTGAAAAGAGTGTCAAATAGGGTGATGTGTCTGAATGTAGAAATAGAAAGTCTGATGCTAAATGTTGGCAGTGGCTATGCTCCACAGGTTGGATGTGATGTGGAGGAGAAAAGATTCATTTTGGAAAGATCTGGATGAAGTGATAGAGAGTATTCCCAGGGAGGAGAGAGTGGTGATCGGAGCAGACCTGAATGGACATGTTGGTGAAGGAAACAGAGGGGATGAGGAAGTGATGGGAAGGTTTGGTGTCAAGGAAAGAAACCAGGAAGGACAGTTTGTGGACAATTTTGCCAAAAGAATGGAAATGGCTATAGTCAACACCTATTTCCAAAAGAGGGAGGAACATAGAGTGACCTATAAGAGTGGAGGAAAGTGTATGTAGGTCGACTACATTCTGTGTAGAAGAGGAATCCTGAGGGAGATTGGGGACTATAAGGTTGTGGCAGGGGAGAGCGTGGACAGACAATATAGGATGGTGGTGTGTAGCATGACTGTTGTTGTGAAGAAGATAAAAAGAATAAAATCAGAGAAGACCAAATGGTGGAAGCTCAAGACGGAAGAATATTGTGAGAAATTCAGAGATGAGCTGTTGTTTTGTGAAAGACTCTGGGTGGTAAGAAAGAATTTCCAGATGACTGGGCTACTACAGCAACAGTAAATAGAGGGACAGGTAGGAAGGTACTTGGTGTAGCATCTGGACAGAGAATGGATGATAAGGAAACCTGGTGGTAGAATAATGAAGTACGGGAAGCTATTCAAAGAAAGAGGGTAGCCAAGAAGAAATATGACAGTGCAAGGACTGAAGAGAGGAGACAGGAATATGAGATTCAATGTAGAGTACAGAGGGTGGTGGCAAAGGCAAAGCAGTAGGTGTATAATGAGTTGTACGGGAGGCTGGCCTAAAGACGATGAGAAGGACTTGTACCAATTGGCGAGACAGAGGGATCAGGCTGGAAATGTTGTGCAGCAGGTCAGGCTTGTTAAAGATCATCAGGTCTCTCTTATAAATGAGTCCTCAAGGCTCAATGGGACTAACCTGTATAAATAAAGGTTGAATGAATTTTAAAAAAAGATAGGAATGGTAATGTTCTTACAAATGAGGAAGGTCTGATGGGAAGATGGAAGGAGTAATTTGAAGAGCTAATGAATGAAGAGAATGAAATCAAAAGAAGAGTAGAGGTCATAGAAACTGTGGACCAGGAAGTGGGAAAGATTAATGAGGGTGACATCTGGAAAGCTCTGAAAATGAAGATGGGGAAGGCAATAGGACCTGATGACATACCAGTGGCGGTTGGGAAATGTCTTTGAGAGATGGCAGTGAGGTTTTGAGGGCGAGAAAATGCCTGAGGAATAGAGAAGTGTGCTGGTGCCTATTTTTAAGACCAAGGGTGATGTATGGAGTTGTAGTAACTACAAGGCAATTAAGTTGATTAGTCGAACACTGAAGATCTGGGAGAGAATTGTGGAAGCTAGACTTAGATGAGAGGTGACTATTTGTGAGAAGCAGTATGGTTTCATGCCAAGAAAGAGCACCACATCTTTGCTTTGAGGATGCTGATAGAGAAGTACAGAGAGGGTCAGAAAGAACTCCATTGTGTCTTTGTGGATTTAGAAAAAGCATATGACAGGGTGTTGATGGAGGAGGTGTGGTATTGCATGAGGAAATCTGGAGTGGCAGAGAAGTATATTAGATCGTACAGGACATGTATGAGGCCAGCAGGACAGTGGTGAGATGTGCTGTAGGAGTGACAGCTTCAAGGTGGAGGTGGGATTGCATCAAGGATTGGCTCAGAGCCCCTTCTTGTCTAGTCTGGTGATGGACCGAGTAACAGATGAAGTCAAGCAGGAATCCCCCTGGACTATGATGTCTGCAGATGACATTGTGATCTGTGGTGAAAACAAGGGATAGGTAGAAGAGAACTTGGAGAAGTGGAGGTATGCACTTGAAAGAAGGGGAATGAACGCAAGCCGTAGTAAGACAGGGTACATGTGTGTGAATGAGAGGGAGGCCAATGGAGCAGTGAGGCTACAAGCAGCAGAGGTCACAAAGGTGCAGGACTTCAAGTACTTGAGCTCCACTGCCCAGGAAAATGGGCAATGCAGTAAAGAGTTGAAAAAGAGAGTCCAGGCAGGGTGGGGTGGATGGAGAAGTTTCAGAAGTGATTTGTAACAAAAGGGTGTCAGCAAAGGTAAAAGGCAAATTTTACAAGACTGTGGTGAGACCAGCTAGATGTAAGGTCTGGAGACAGTGGCATTGACAAAATACAGGAGAACGAACTCGAAGTGGCAGAAATGATGTTGAGGTTCTCCTTAGGAGTGACAAGGATGGACAAATTAGAAACATCTTATCTAAAAATGATGCAGAAAAACTGGTCCATGCATTTGTCACATCTAGACTGGACTATTGCAATGGTTTATTATCTGGGTGTCCAAATACTTCTTTAAAACATCTTCAGTTGATCCAAAATGCTGCTGCCAGAGTCTTAAACTGGAGTTAGTAGGAGAGATCATATCTTTCCAGTTTTAGTTTCTCTCCATTGGCTCCCTGTCAAATCCAGAATAGAATTCAAAATCTTACTTCTAACCTACAAAGCTCTCAACAACCTAGCTCCATCTTATATTACAGATCTTATTGTTCCATATTTTCCTAACAGAGCACTTCACTCTCAGACTGCAG